ATTAAAAAGTAATGCGTTACTTTACTAGTTACTTGAAAAAAGTAATCTGATTACATAACTCGCGTTACTTGTAATGCGTTACCCCCAACACTGACCGTTACATCCCTAGATCCAGGTCTAGTAACTAATCGCAGTAGGTAACTCAACTCCCGTCTGATGTCATAAATAGTAACTGAAGCCCTGAACTACTGAAAGCATCTGAAGTGAACCGCCTCCTCTAACCGGGAGGAGAGAGAGAAGAACAACATGGCGAACTTTCCTCTGGAATAACTGTTTTCTGAAGAGCTGCTGAGCGTTTCTGCAAGCACCGTGCATCTGAATCTGAAGACGCTTTATTCGGAGAAACCAGGCTTTTTTCTCATGGATTCGGAGCGTGTGAAGTATCATGGGATGAAAGTTTGAAACAGTTGGATACTAAAGTAGGACAGGATGGAGAAACAAGGAACAAGACGCGAAAAGGTAAATAAACGCACAACTAGTGTGAAATGTGAGGCTTGATTGTGTTGTGTAAGTTACAGTGTGATGTAAAACTGGATTTATTATTACGGTGTGTTTTCATTAAAGCTGGCTTTCCTGTTGGCGTGCTACAGAGTACAGTATAAGGCCACATATACTAAAAACTTTGACATGCTTTCAGTGTTTTAGATTATTTTCACTACTCTTTTTAGATCTAGAGGGTTGTTGTGCAAGTTTAGATTGTTATTGTGTAACATGTCATTGCTGCTGCTAATAAACTTACAGTGTGTGTTTGCATGAAATGCTTCATTGACTAAATTATCAAGTGTATTTTTGAGCTAAACTGATACTGTTACGATTTCTGGATTTAACACTTTCATAATGGTGGTCCTGACATTTCATCTCAGACTATAGAGGAAATGGAAAAGTTACAGTCAGTCAATATTTATGACAGCTGACAGGCATCGTGCACTTTATGAAAAGCCAGTGAAAGGTGAAATATCTGGGCTGGTCACCCAAAGGTTGTAGGTTCAAGCCTTGCACGAGTTGATCCATAAATGATGTGAAAACACTTCACCTTAGGTCAGTGCACAGGTACCTGTAAGTTGTTTTGGATAAAAGTGTGACATACATGGCAAATTAGCATAAAAAAACTAACAAAAAAAAAAGAGTTATCCCTGACATAGGCTTGTTTGAGTCACAGAGACCTGAATTTATGCAAATCTACATAAAGACACCTGCTAGATAAACAATATTCTGCTGAATGTTGTCTCAAATAGAGTTGTGCAAACAATTTCATATTGAATAATATTGCTGATTTATTAATGGCTTGTGAGCTCCCAGAATACATTGCAGCGTGAATCAAATGGAGTTTGTGTAAATTATGCAGTTCGTGTTATAGGATTATTGATTTGCTGTTTGCTGACTTTATTTGTGCTGCTGCTGTTATTGTTATTTTGTCTTCACTGGTTATTTGTTATATGTTGATTTTGAGAGCTCATCATTTAATTGTTTGTTCATTGTCTAATATTGTGCACATTATGTTGCTTAGAATGTACTTCACAAGCTAATATAGCAGAATTTTCTTTGATTATCACTAGTTAATTTCTAAAGTTGCTAATTTGTAATGTACAGAACTAGATATACATATAGTGGCATTGTCAAGAATTTATAGTCAAATTATCAAGAATTTATTGACTTAAGACATTTTGCATTTAGTGGACAAACAAATAGAACATGATGCATCATCATGTTGCCTTGATTTAAAAAAAAAATAATAATAATAAACAAATATATATATATATATATATATATGTGTGTGTGTGTGTGTGTTAAAATAATTGCTTAATTGTCAAAAATAATGTCAGAATGCAAAATATATTAATGTTGCTGAAAATAGGCTTCACTTGCTTTAAGCAAAATGTATTTCTTATCTCATTGTTTTGATTTTGGTGTTAAATATGACTAAAACTTGTTCTTGACAGTGTTTTACTTTAGTGTTATTTAAAAAAAAAAGTTTTTATATTTTCAGGATTTATTTGTATATTTTCAGTTTTCATTTATATGTTGTTTTGGTTTGGTTTATAATGTTATTATTTATTTAAATGTAAATATTTTAAATAAATGTAATTATTTTAATTAAATGTGTTATTTAAAAAAAATGTTTTTATATTTTCAGGATTTATTTTGATATTTTCAGTTTTCATTTATATTTTGTTTTGGTTTATAATGTTATTATTTCTTTAAATGTAAATATTTTAAATAAATGTAATTATTTGAATTAAATAGTTGTCAGTGACACTCAATATCATGCATGTGTTCTGTACCTTACACGAGGGAGTAGGATGTAGCTCACATCACATTGTCATCCAGGCGACCTCCACTGTGGTCGTTCCCAGCAGACCATAACATGTTTTGTGGTGTTTTCAGACTCACCAGATGTTAGTGGGTGCACCTGTGTTTTCTTTGAACCCAGACGGAGGGAATGCAGAGAAAATTTCCAACTGAATCAGTCTAGGGGGTGTTTCAGGGGACAGCAGACTCTGTTTTTGGCAGAGTAAACAAATCATCTTGAATGAAATATTTAATGGCAATAGTCACAAACCATCAACAGCGACAGAACTCAAAAGATAAACTTTCCCATGCCTCCAGTCATATTCGATCAATTTTCTTCCCAGAAAAAAAATCCATTCTTGCATTATAAATGTGAGGAAGTGCTGAATGCGCGCATGCATCCTGATTGCAAAAATATCATGCAAAGAATATGCACCACTATGATCCAACCGAAGTTGGTTTTTAATAGTTTTTTCTTTAAGACTTAGATGTTACGTAACCCAAATGCAACATTGAAATTGTTTTTCATGCAAAAATAAACATGTCCTTAAAATTAAACATGTAAATGTATTAATTTCAAAACAAATATCATATTATGTCCTCTACCTTCTTTCTACTTCAAATTTGAATGTTTAATTCAATGTGTTACTTGCCAAATCTTTGTAATTCTTTGTGAAATTTACTAGGAATTTGAGTGAAAATAGTTTCTACACCAGATTTTTTTTTTCCCAGTGCAACGTGGCGAGTGTTATAGTGCCAAAAATATTGTAGAGATTGATTGGGCTGAAAGTTGATTCATTAATTTTAAAAGCTTATTTATTTTGCTGTCCTAAGTATGCATGACTATATTGTTAGTTGCCGTTTATCATTTGCATTCACTGTACAAATGAACAGATCTGCAACCCTTGAGGTTTAATGCTGTGTTAGGCTGATTTATGCTGCTTTGGTGGTCTAGCTGGTGTTGGTTGAACAAGGAAATCTTGAAGAAATAGTTCGCCCAAACATGAAAATGTGCTGTCAGTGTACTCACCCTCAGACGATCCAGGATGTAGATGAGTTTGTTTCATTATGGAAACTGATTTGGCGATATGTAGCGTTACATCACTTGCTCACCAATGGATGCTCTGCAGTGAATGGGTGCCGTCAGAATGAGAGTCCAAACAACTGATAAAAACATCACAATAATCCACAAATAAAATCCACACCACTCCAGTCCATTTATTAATGTCTTGTGAAGTAAAAAACTGCATGTTTGTTAGAAACAAATCCATCTTTAATGCATTTATTTTTAACATTAAACTGGTACCTTCTGGGCAAAATATGAGCCCATAATCCATAATAAAGCTTCCTCTAGTGAAAAGGTCCATCCCCTGTTGTCTCTCACATCAAAATCCACCCACATATTTGTTTAAAACTGATTTGGACTGTTTTGACTTGTGCTTGATCTGTGCAGATTTCTCTCCTGTTTCAGACAAGATGACCATATCACTGTTGAAAGGGTTATTATGGATAGAGGTCTCATATTTTAGCCAAAAGCAATGGTTTAAAGTTAAAATCTTAATGACTGAATTATTTCTTACAAAAACATGCAGCATTTGGCTTCTCAAGACATTAACTGATGGACTGGAGTGGTGTGGATTACTTGTGGATTACTGTGATGTTTTTATCAGCTG